TCAATTTTGCGTATGGAGTATGGAAGGATGCCATTTTGTTCATCACCTCGAGGAGCAAACTGGGCACCATAATTTTGCATTGTTTCACAGTAGCTCACATGGAACTGATATGTTTATATTAAGAGAGAAATGACTGGACATTCTCTCCCTCTATCCACCATAACAAAGGGCACCCATTTCACAAAATTAAACAAGAAGGCCATTAACATGTGCACATTTTGAAAATATTAGTTCCTTACATTTAAAATCTCACATCTCTTGTGCATGCTTATATGTGGGTTCTCCTCCAATTAACCGCAGAAACAGGAATCTGTGGATACTTTGAATGCATTTTATACAGAACACAAAGGTGTCACAATGCTCTATTTGCACTAATGTACGTTTGCATTTGGTGTCATTCCATAGGCATTTGTTCTTGGCACCAGAACACTCTGTGCTGCAGCATTCCACATTTGGATATTTTCATTGCTCTCCCTCCTAAAGTGGGTCTGGAAACTGTTTCTGCTGGCACAGTCTGTCAAAAGCTCTGTTTTCCAGGGATCAAGCTCTACCTGCGTGATGAACAAACAGTTTGCAACAAGGGATTGTGTTGTCTTTGTTCAAGCATATGCACCGCCTTGAATTTCTCTTTTGCAAAAGATAAATTGGCTTAAATAAATGCATAAACCAGACAAACTAGAGTTGGCATTAATTATGTGACTGCAATTAACATGTGATCTTTCCTGTTTTTATGTCTCCTGTGAGAATTCACCCTATTGTCCAAGCCCTGCACATATTTTGCTTCTCTCAGCCTGTCTCCAATCCTGTCTAGCATATAATATTATGTGTCTTTTAGCTAAAAAGAATGGAAACTGATAGACACTTCATAGAATCATAGAATCATAGCATTGGAAGAGACCTCATGGGCCATCCAGTCCAACCCCCTGCCAAGAAGCAGGAAAATTGCATTCAAAGCACCTCCGACAGATGGCCACCCAGCCTCTGTATAGAATCATAGAATCATAGAGTTGGAAGAGACTTTCTATAAAAACGCATTGTTCTAAGTTAAAGCTTATATTGACAGAAACATATTTTAAGATCAAGTTGGGGAATGCTGTGAACTGTTTTAGCTATATGAATAGATTTTAAATTGGTTTTAATGGTTTTAACTGTTTATTTTTAATAGTACTATGTAACAAAATTTGAAAAATGTTCTGTTCCTGGTTTGAAAGTGTTATTTCCTGTTTAATTGTGTAGTACTTACTTTGAAAGTAATTATCATACTCCAGAAACTGTGTTTTTTGTGACTGCCACAAACTATGTTGAATTGGTTGAGACTCTATGAGATATTCATCGAATATCAGGGGAGTGTGCTCGCTCCATCAATGTTTAACATTTAGCCAAAGGATCAGCCACTGCCAGAAGGGACAGAATGTTTCATCTATGCTGATGATCGTGCCATCACTGCCCAAGCAGCGAGCTTTGAAATGGTTGGACAGAAACTCTCCAAAGCTTTAGGTGCTCTTACTGCCTATTACAGGGAAAACCAGCTGATTCCTAATCTATCTAGATGTGTGCTTTCCATCTTAAGAAGCATCTCGAGCTCTAAGGATTACATGGGAAGGAATCCCACTGGAGCATTGCAGCACACCCAAACACCTGGGAGTTACCCTGGACCATGCTCTGACCCACAAGAAGCATTGCTTGAATATCAAGCAAAAAGTGGGTGCTAGAAACAATATCAGATGAAAGCTGGCAGGCACAGCCTGGGGATCACAACCAGATATAGTGAAGACATCTGTCCTTGTGCTTTGCTACTCTGCTGCTGAGTATGCATGCCCAGTGTGGAACACATCTCACCACGCTAAAACAGACATGCTGCATTATCACAGGATGTCTACTTCCTACAGCACTGGAGAAATTATACTGTATAGCTGGCATTGCACCAACTGACATCTGTCGGCTCATCCCCAATAATAGCAGCCAATAATGAAAGGACCAAGGCAGTGACATCTCCGGCCCATCTCCTGTTTGGATATCAGCCAGCATGCCAACGCCTTAAATCAAGAAATAGTTTTCTAAGATCTACAGAGATACCTCAGCAAGCAAGAGTTCAAAAGTGGCAGGCTAAAACCCGGAACCTCAATCCATGGCTGATACCGAATGAAAGACTCCCCTTTGTGCACACAAAAGACTGAGTGACTTGGAAGGTGCTGAACAGACTGCGCTCTGGCACCATGAGATGCAGAGCCAACCTTAAGAAATAGGGCCACAAAGTAGAGTCCACGACATATGAGTAAGAGGAGCAAACCACAGATCACCTACTGCAATGCAGTCTGAGCCCTGCCACATGCACAATGGATGACCTTCTTATAGCAACACCACAGGCACTCCAAGTGGCCAGCTACTGGTCAAAGAACATTTAGTATAATGCCATTTTTTTATGTTGTGTTTTTAAACATACATTACAACTGTATCCTCGGTTTGCTTCTGATACAATAATTTTTTTAAAATTGAAAAACTATAGTAAAATGTGCCTCTAGATGTCCTGCAAAAACAAAGTTTTGCAGTTTAATAAACCTTTTTCATGTTTTTATGGTAGAACCAATTAGGAAATGACATTTATAACCCAGGAACAAAAATTGTGTTGCATAGTATAGTTTCAATGTTTAATTCTATGTTAATGTTTGCAGGGTTTTTAAGTTTTAAATTATATTTTGCATTGCCTTTATTGTTAGCCACTTTGTGTCTCTTATTAAGAGAGACAAAGTGGGATAGGAGTCATCATCATTGTCATCGTCATCTTGTTCTGTACTCTTCCAGTCATCTCTTTCCTTCAAATGCTCTATATTGGACAAGTGAACAGAACCAAAAGACCTCCTAACAAGAAGCTGGGAATATTGGGTTCAGCAAAAGTAATGATGATGCACTGGTGGAAAATACTCTGCCAGGACAAATGATATACTGCTGATAGTTTGCATAGTGTGACTTGACCAAAGATTCCTGATCTTTTTTTATTTATTTACAGTGGGACCTTTTATTTTGGAAGGAGCCCAGTAACATGACCCTAAGCCGACTCACAGGACTAGAAGTGAGTGCCTCTGATTTCAAAACCATCCCAGCCCCAGGTTCACTTCAGTCCACAGAACGAGTAAGCAGGCCTCTCCAGGGTCCATTATTTGGGCTATGTTTAACCTGGACTTGAGAAGGTGGGGCAGGGACAACCAGGAGGTGAAACTTGAGCTGGAAAATGTGCACAGGGTTCCTGGGAAAGCATTCCTTCCTCCTGCCCCTCCTCACCTCTTCCTTGACGAAACCCCAAATCCTGTCCTAAGATGTTGGTTTCTCCTTCACCTCCATACCCAAGGAGCCTCTCCACCTTTGGGACCTGAGCCTTGGCTCTCCCCCCCCCCCTTTTTTTTTTTTCCTTCTCCACAGAGGTTTGAGGAGGAAAGGCTGAGGGAGCTGGGGTTGTTGAACTTGGAGACAAGAAGTCTGAGAGGGGACACGACAGCCATGTTTAAATATTTAAATAGATGTCACATTGAGGAGGAAATGTGGCTTGGTGACTGCCCCTCGACTCTGGAACCCCCTTCTTCCCAGGGAGGCCAGAATGTCACCCTCCTTGCGGTCCTTCCAGCAGCAGGCTAAAATCTTTTTATTCAGGCAGGCCTTTAAAGATGAAGGTGTTTAAGATCAATTCAGGTGGTGCTGCGGTTTTTACTTTGGATTTGTTTTAATAGTTTTCAATGGGGATTTTTAAAATACTGTTTATATTTAACCCTGTTTTAATTTTCATATCCACTGTATTTTAAATTGTTATGCTAATGGAACTCCTTCCCCAATGAAATTAGATCAACGCCCTCCCTCCTGGCCTTTAGAGGAAAAGTAAAAACTTGGCTTTGGGCAGGAAGCAGTGCAAGAAATGATCAGGAATTATGTGCAATAGATATATTTGGAACAGCCTGGACTACGACTGTTGGATTGTGTGATTTTAATGTTTACACTGACATGCTTTTAATTCCATGTTTAAATGTAGAAATGTTTAAATGTAGAAAAGACGTGTCAGGAGAAGGGGGCAGAAGGAAAATCAGTCCTGGCCCCCTTTGTTTTTAAAATGTGATTGTTCCTGGTTTAAAGGGCTGTGTGGATGTGCCCTTTGGGACCCCTTCCACGCATCTTAATAAAATCCCACATTTTCTGCTTTGAATGTGGACTCTGATAACCCAGTGTGGACTCTGATAACCCAGTTCAAAGCAGATATTTTCTGCTTTGATATTCTGAGTTATAGGGTTGTGTGGAAGGACCCAAAGATAACCTAGCTCAAAGCAGATATTGTGGGATTTTCTGCCTCGATATTCTGGAATACAGGGCTATGTGGAAGGGCCCACAGATAACCCAGCTCAAAACAGATAATGTGGGATTTTCTGCCTTGATATTTTGGGATTAAGGGCTGTGTGGAAGGGCTCAGAGATAACCCAGCTCAAAACAGATAATGTGGGGTTTTCTGCCTTGGTATTTTGGGATTAAGGGCTGTGTGGAAGGGCTCACAAATAACCCAGTACAAAGCAGATATTGTGGGGTTTTCTGCCTTGATGTTCTGGGCTATAGGGCTGTGTGGAAGCAGTCTGACATGGAGGTTGTTGGAGTGGTCCAGCATGTCTGTGTTCTCAAATAATATGCTGTTCCCTGGTTGGTTCATCAAGTGCTCTGCTTCTAGGATTCTCCGTTTCCTCCAAGTGCTACAATGTCCCTTCCAGGCAGTAAAGCGTATCCCTCTCTCTTTGTCCCACCTTTTCACAGGGGCTTCCTTCAAATAACGCCCCCCCCCCCCCTCATCTTCCTTCAGGCAGTGCCCCCCGAGGGAGAGTGGAGCCCTACTTCTCTCCCCGCCTGACTGCTCTGCTTATACACACTCCACCCCCTTTTCGCGCTCTCCTTCTCCATCTCCTCCAGCCTCTCTCTCTCTCTGTGTCATCTTTGGGGCTTTATTTGGTGCTGCCGGAAACAGCAAGGGAGGGGTGGGGGTGGGGGCTGCCTTTCCCTTCCTTGCTTGGCTTTTGGGGAGTGACACCAGCTCAGGCTGAAGAGGAGGAGGAGGAGGAGGCGAGGAAGGGAGTAGGCGGCCAGGGATTTGCGAGGAGAAAGAAAGAGAAGCTCTTCCGCGGCAGGTAAGGCAAGGGCAAGCCTATGGAAAAGAGAGGGGGGGGGATGTGTGTGAGGGGCAAAGGGAGGCCGTGCCCTCCCCAAAAGAAAGAGGGCTGGGCGAGGCAGGGCGCGAGGGGAAAGGGGGGGGGGAAGCAGAAAGAGGGAGGCGTGGGAGGCGGGAAGGCCTTCTCTGTGGAGAGGATGCAGGCGCGCGGGTGTGTGTGTGCAAGGTTGGTCTCCTCTGTGGCTGCCAGGGGTTTGCATTGTCATGGCTATTCCACGGCTCTCCCGCCTGCTTTCTTCCCCAGGAGAGGCTCCCCATTGCTTGCAACCAGGAGGAGGAAGCAAACCGGGGTCTTCCCTGGGCCTATATAGGGGCTGCCAGCCAAGGGGGCGGCGTCGTTGGGCAAACGCCTCTGCTGCCTTTGACACACACACAGCCCCCCTTCTCTAGGCAGGCTGAGCATCCCTTCATCCGGGCATCCCGCATTGGCCGCATTGGAGGCAACCAGGTCGCCTTTGCTTTCGCCTGGCTCCGTGTCTATACCAGGCCTGGGCCAACTTGGGCCCTCCTTCCAGGTGTTTTGGATTCTCAACTCCCACCATCCTTAACAGCATCAGGCCCTTTCCTTTCCCCCCTCAGCCGATTAAGCGGGAAAGGCAGGGACCTGAGGCAGTTAGGGATGGTTTTTTATTATAATGTTCAATTTTTTATTTTTTTGTCCTGTCAGGAGCGACTTGAGAATCTGCAGGTTGCTTCTGGTGTGAGAGAATTGGCCGTCTGCAAGGACATTGCCCAGGGGACGCCCGGATGTTTTGATGTTTTATCATCCTTGTGGGAGGCTTCACTCATGTTCCCGCATGAGGAGTTAGAGCTGATAGAAGGAGCTCATCCGCGCCCACCCCCAGATTCTAACCTGTGACCTGTCAATCTTCAGTTCTGCCGCCACAATTATTTATTTATTTATTTATTTATTTGCTTTATTTGTATACCGCTCTTCTCAGCCCTTAGGCGACTCAGAGCGGTTTACAACAGTTTAGGTATACACAATACAAAATCATTAGGCATTTAAAAGCAATAGCATCACAAATCATTAAACATCAGCATCAATACATCAGTACATCAATATAACAAATCCATCAGGTTTCATCAATGAAATCAGAATCCAAACTCATTATCCATTATTCCGTGTTCCGATAATCAGTCAATCAATCACACTGCTTAGTCGAATGCCTGTTCAAACAGCCAGGTCTTTACTTTCCTCCGGAATGCCAGCAAGGAGGGGGTCGATCTAATATCTGCAGGAAGGGCGTTCCACAGCCGAGGGGCCACCACTGAGAAGGCCCTGTCTCTCGTCCCCGCCAGGCATGCTTGTGAAGCTGGCGGGATCGAGAGCAGAGCCTCCACAGACGATCTTAATGTCCAAGGGTTTAACCCACTGCCCCACCTGGAGCTCCTTGTTAGGAATGGTGGGAGTTGAAGTCCAAAACACCTAGAGCCTGGGTCCTCAAACTTTTTAAACAGAGGGCCAGGTCACAGTCCCTCAGACTGTTGGAGGGCCAGATTATAATTTGAAAAAAACGTGATTGAATTCCTATGCACACTGCACATATCTTATTTGTAGTGCCAAAATAACCACTTTAAAAAGTACAATAATTAAAATGAAAAACAAATTTAACAAATATAAACTTATTAGTATTTCAATGGGAAGTGTGGGCCTGCTTTTGGCTGATGAGATAGGATTGTTGTTGTTGTTGTTGTTGTTGTTGTTGTTGTTGTTGTTGTGTGCTTTCAAGTCATTTCAGACTTAGGTTGACCCTAAGATAGGGCCGGGTAAATTATCTTGGAGGGCCATATCCGGCCCCCGGATTTGAGGACCCCTGACCTAGAGAGAGGGCCCAAGTTGGCCCATGTCTGGTGTATACCCATTTCTACAATTATCCCTCAGTATTGGAAAATGCAATTGCTTCCAGTTTCTGAGACAAAAATTAGCATCTCTCCAGAACTCCAAGCACTATCTCAACCACATTTTGATTATTCACACTGTCATTACCAACCTTTCTACCAATATACATGGCAATAGCTGCAATAGCTATTGGAGGCCCCGGTGGCGCAGTGAGTTAAACTGCTGAGTTGTTTAACTTGTTGACCGAAAGGTTGCAGATTCAAATCCATGGAGCGGCATGAGCACCCACTGTCAGCCCCAGCTTCTGCCAACCTAGCAGTTTGAAAATATGCAAATGTGAGTAGATCAATAGGTACCTCTTTGGCAGGAAGATAACAGCGCGCCATGCAGTCATGCTGGCCACATGACCTTGGAGGTGTCTATGGACAATGCCAGCTCTTGCACTTAGAAATGGAGATGAGCACCAACCCCCAGAGTCGGACAGGACTGGTCTTACTTAGGCGATCCCTCGTTGGCTGAGTAGGATAGTCTTCCAGGATCAGTATTCTTGTGGATCCATAGGTGACTGTGGAACCCTATTCTTGACCTGCATCTTCTGGACTTAATGTCAAGGGAAAACCTTTACCTTTACCTTATCTGCAATAGCTGACATAATGAAAGCGACCAAGTTGGCCTGACAGCAGCCTGCAGGTAGGGGCATTGAATGAGGGGGTTGACCTGGATTGCAGGTGGAAACCATCTAATCCAGTGGTTCCCAACCTTGTTTTGAACAGGGGCCACTTTAACCAGGGACTGCTCTCCAACATTAGTACCAAAAGGGGTGGGGCTGGTTAGCTGTGCAGAAAGGAGCGGAAATAAAATAAATAAAGAAGAAGGACCGGATTTTCGTTCTCACGGTCCATTGCAGGGTCACGGCCCACAGGTTGGGAACCACTGATCTAATCCAAACCCTGCCAAAGAAACCATGGAACAGGAGAAAAGGGAAGAAGCTGTGCCATTTTTAGACCTTTATATGAACAAGACTGTTTCTGACGACCAAGTGAAACCTTAATTACAGCAAAATCCACAGACTGTATTGTCAATATACGTATTTCCTGTGGATAAGAAGAAACATCTAAGATTTCAACCCAAATTGTCCAACAGATTTCCCTGGTTAGCCTACTAATTTCATGTACAAGGTGCACTCTAAGTATTTCATGGTGTTTGGAGGAGAAGTTGGGGGTAAAGGTGGTCATCAGAAGCTTGGCGCATTGGTTGCGAAACCATTTGTGCGATGGGAAAATGCAATAGAAGTCTTCAATAGACACCATAAAAAACATCGGAACAATGTGTGCTTGGCTGAACACTTTAGGCTAATTCACAGTGGAAAAATTCTTAATGATGAAGGAAGAAGAAGAAAACAGAAAGATACTTCTGCCATTTGTGGAAACTATTGCCCTTTGTGGCCAAAAAGAACCGGTTTAAAAGAGGGAGCAATTATTCAGGACCGATTACCTGAGAAGAACCTTTGCACAGTGATGGTAATTTCAGGGCCTTGTCAAGATCTTGTGCCAGATCAGGAGACACTGAACTCAAAAGTCATCTCAGAGAAAAAAAGTTTAAACCCCGCCCAAATATTGTTTTCTGGCTACAGGACTGCCTCCAGGACATATATGTGTAAGATGTATATGAAACATACATGAATTTCGTCTTTAGACTCGGGACTTGTCTCTGAGGTCCCTTCTACACTGCCATATAATCCAGTTTATCAAAGCACATAATCCACATGATCTTCTTTGAACTAGGTCATATGAGAGCCCTTCCACACAACCATGTAACCCAGAATATCAAGGCAGAAAATCCCACAGTATCTGCTTTGAACTGGGTTATCTGAGTCCACACTGCCATATATTCAAATTCAAAGTAAATAATGTGGGATTTTATTCAGCTGTGTGGAAAGGGCTATATAATTCAGTTCAAAGCAGATCATCTGTGATTTTATATGCTTTTACGGTTTTAACCTGAATCATTTTAATATTAATGACATTTAATACTGTTTTAATATTTGCATAGTTGTACATTTTAAGTTCTTTTGCTTTTAGTTGTGAGCTGCTTTGAGTCTTCGTATGGAGGGAAAAGGCAGAATTTAAATAAAAATAAACATAATAATATTTTTATATGGCAGTATAGAAGGGGCCCAAGGTATCTCTTATGCAAAGACAGGTATTTCAAAATCCAAAACACTTCCGGTCTCAAGCATTTTGAATAAGGGATGCTCAACCTTTATGACAAGTCTTTCTGACCACCCTACCTGTATGAATGGGCCTTCTTTAATCTGAGATACAGGCAGTCCCCAAGTTACAAACATCTGACTTACAAACAATTCATAGTTAAGAATAGGGTGTGTTTTTTTTTGGGCGGGGAGTTCATGTCAGGAGTGACTTGAGAAACTGCAAGTCGCTTCTGGCATGAGAGAATTGACAGTCTGCAAGGATGTTGGGGACACCTGAATGATGTTTTACCATCCTTGTGGGAGGCTTCTCTCATGTCCACACATGGGGAACTGTAGCTGACAAAAGGAGCTCAACTCACTCTCCCTGAATTTGAACCACTGACCTATTGGTCAGCAGTCCTGCCAGCACAACAGCTTACTCCATTGTGCCACCGGAGGCTCCAATAGGGGTGAGACAACAGGAAGTGAGAAAATATAACTTGGAAGGGAAATTCACTCGTGAAAGAATTATCATGAGGAAAAGGTGTCTCCACTGAAGCTTTCTCGCCTATCCTTGTTTCCAAAACAATCCACATTTTCCAAATCCAATTATCACAGAGACAGAAAGTGAGGTGAAATCTTCTGAGCAGGGCACAGATAGCAAAACAAACACTAAAGGGGCGAGAAACCTTCCCTATGCAATCCAATACTAGGTTGAACTTACAAACAAATTCAGCTTAAGAACAAACCTACAGAACCTATCTTGTTTGTTTGACTGCCTTTATACAGGAGGCTCTTGTGAGAATTGGAAAGCACCGGAGAATTGTTGCAACACTCTGGTTGCTTGAGTGTTACTAATAGTGTACGTCATACTGTATCATGCCATAGACTCTATATTGACTTGATATAAGTATTGAAATCCAGT